GTGTGTGTGTGTGTGTGTGTGTGTGTGTGTGTGTGTGTGTGTGTGTGTGTGTGTGTGTGTGTGTGTGTATCAATAGAAAATCCAAATTTCATACTATGTGATCATAATTATAATCATGACTTCCAAAAATTCGGATTCTGCTGCAACCGTCTCTCAAAGGTTTCATACCAGCTCTGTAATGTAGATAGAGGCACATAGTTCTCAGTAGGATTTGGCGTCATTTGCCCTTGCGTCACTGTGAAACTAGTCACATAATTCACAAAACTTGTTAACATCTTTTGTACAAATTCCACGAAAGAGTTGGTCGTAGTTGCGGCAACGGTAGCTACTTGCTGCTCAATCACCGCCAGTGGTTCAACCGACACACCAATCTGCGCGAAGTGCGAGATCTTACCAACCCCAAAAATTCCTAAATTGCTGTTTTCAAATTCATGATTTTTCTTTAGATTCGATATTTTAAAGATGGCCGATGGCTTAGAATTGGAAACGTATCCAAGGAATTGCCAGTTGGGCGGCGCATTCGGATCTGGCCAACTAAAGTATACTGTAAATGATAATTGTTTAAATTAATTTCAATATAAAAAAAGTCTAGACATCTCCATAGTTTATTTGCAAAAGTAATCTTTATTGTCTTCTGTCTTACCTGCACCTCCCATACCATCTGGGAAAGGGACAGTGCCAGTGAGAAATACTACTATATGGTTTATATTATCAGCGTCAGGTATAGTAATTAAGAACTGATTTTCACCAACTTGTTGAAAATCGGTTTGGACCTAAAATATGAACATTACATTTATATATACAGTGTGTTTAAAAAAAAAGTGTCCCATATTTTGAGAACAGGTAGTACTCATCAAAATGAGAAGAAAATGTCCAGTAAGCATGGGTCCTAAATCAAATACGTGTTGAGATATGGACTAATCTTTATTATATAGGAGGTGTTCTATGTGATTTTCACTCATTGTCACATATTTTAAATAAAAAAATATACATTCCTATAATGTTTGTACGTCGTCGATAGATGTTGAATAAATTAAGGTCTTTAAATGATAAACATTGCCCTCTTCTTATATTAGTTGTATTATTTCTGCAGTGCAGTAAAGTTTGATCATTAGTCATTATCAAGTATCGACAACATACAAACATTGTAGGAATTGGTATTTTTTTAATTTAAAATAAATGATTGAGAACCACATAGAACACCTCATATAGTATATAATAAAGATTAATCCATATCTCAACAGGTATTTAATTTAGAACCCATGTTTACTGAACATTTTCTTCTTATTTTGATGCATACTACCTGTTCTCAAAATATGGGACACTTTTTTTAAACACCCTGTGTGTGTGTGTGTATGTGTGTGTGTGTGTGTGTGTGTGTCTGTGTGTGTGAGATGTTTTTATTGTAGGTTATAATAACTAGCCTATTGTAAAGTTAGCATATTATAAGTAATTGATCTATTGTAAATAAAAAATATATATTATTAAACACTCCTGTTTCCATATCATTAAAAATTAACTATTATTTATATTTCCTTCATATTCTAAAATCTTATTACAAAAGTTAATAAAGAATAATTGATCATATCTCAATCAAATTTTACTAATGTATGTAATAATAACAATTTTACAATTGCTGCTATTGTTAAATATATAAAATAGTATTTATTAATCCAGCAGATACTAAGGCAAAAATATACAGTAAGACTACTAAAGTAGAGTTTAGTCGTAATTTAAAATCTTAAGTTATAACTGAAAATTTTAGAATATTTTAAACTTTTGTTGGATCCAAATTATATCAATAAAATTGATAAGCTTCAAAATTTTTTTTTAAAACCTTTTTATTATAAAGCAAACAATTACAGAGTAACTGTAAAAATAACATTATATTTGTATTATATAGAGTTTGTTCTGCCAAGTTAATAAGACAAAAACTACAAATAAAAAGTATGTTTTATAATTCATAATCGATCGAAATAAACCTGACGTTAACAATTAAGAAATGTGATAGCATAATGGAGTTTAATGTACTCACGAGTCGGCCAGCTACAATTATACCGAGCATTCTTGCGGACACATTTAGATTATTTTATTCCGTTTATCACAGAGTATATCAGAATTGATCAGAATATACCGAAAAACTGCCCCAAAAATGTAATTAGCGTCTTCATATCATTCCAAGAATCATCCTTCGCACATTACTTTACGGAATTTACCATAGATGCATCAATAGATATAGAACGGGAACTTGATACGTAAAAAATGCTAATACGCGTTTTCTAGAAAGTCTCTAATGTGTGCTTTTCATTTAGCGACTCAAGTCGACACTAGAGTCCCTTTGCCCGTATCAGACTACGGATTGGGATTGAGATTGGATTGAAATTTATGGCGTTTTCGATTTGCTACTCGACCCGATTCGGGTTGCATAGATATGTGTATTCCAATTCCACGTCAATAATGTTACTGATGATGCGACCCATGCCCATGGTGTAAGTAGACAGCATTCCTGATAAAGCATTCCCGATGCTGCGCACTCGTTCAGTTTTTGAACCAATCAGCGCGCGACCTGTTTTGCGAGAAAAGCAATATGGCTGCTTCCGTCAGTGGGTGCATTCGGGGAGACGCTATTGGCCTAGTTTATACCGATCTCTTGATACGCGTATCAAATAGTATATTTGAACTGATCAGCCAATAATCAGACTTATTTACTATATTTAATACGCGTATCAAGTGATCGGTGTAAACTAGGCCATTAACGCTATAAACACAAACGCTATGAACTTCGTTCAAAAAGCCAATAGGGCGACAGCGATAGCAAGCTCCCCGAACGCAGCTTAAGCGCTAATAGTATTTCGTGCCTCACCTCGAAAATAATAGCGAAAATAGCGTGAGTGATGACGTCACGCTGCCTTTCCAGTGACGTCATCATCGTATATCACAGCGCCACAAAGCGTCTCCTCGAACAGTTTTGGACGATAATTGTGCTAATAGCGTGCTCCCCGAATGCACCCTAAGTTGCATAGTTTTACGATACGTAAATTGTGGTAGATTTCTATAGTCATTTATAAATAATTGTAGTATTCTACAAGTAAGCAGATGTTTTAATTTTTTAAGATTTTGTTTCTTTTTAAGTTTTTAAAATTTGTAGATCTTTGTACTATTTTTTATAAAATTGTAATTTTTTATAAAATACTACTCGCAATAATTTCTTGATTTGAGAACATTGTAATTTGTGGTACTATTTCGTAGATATTTCTACAAAAAAATAACTATTTCTACAAAAAATTAAATATTTCAACAAAAATGTACAAAGGAGGAGGGTCCCTAAG